CTCTCTCTCTCTCTCTCTCTCTCTCTCTCTCTCTCTCTCTCTCTCTCTCTGCCTGTCTCTCTCCCCGCCTGTCTCTCTCACACACAAGCAGTCCAACCCCCGTCTCACTATTTCCGGGTTTATTACTCATGGCAAATTGTGGTTTTTTGAAGTAGGAAAAACTGCTCAAAATGAGAGGTTAGATTCCAAAATCTCTAATGCTAATTACAGACCGAATCATATGAAAATATGGAGTTCAATTACATGTAATCTGATTTTTGATATCATGCTGTACAGCTGGCCATGTGGAATATTCCTCCCCCCCGCCCCCCTCATTTGGTTTCTGCTGTTGCTGTTTGTGTGTTCAACTTTTTTTCAGTTTCGGTGAACTGTAAGCGTCTCTTGAAGAGAGGGTGTGTATTCTTGTCTGGCAACCTTTCTCCTTCTTCTTTATGTATTGGTTGAGGCTGGAAGAAGGCTGCCGCTCTAAGTCACCCTCTGCTAATGAATCTCTTTACTCTGGAAGCTCATTTCTGCCAATGAAAAGGGAGGAAAATAACCAGAAAATAGCTGAAAACGGATATGAGATACTAAGTTGACAATTGAAATGACAAATTAAAATGACGAGTTGCTAAATCACCAATATGAGATAGCGAGTTAAACTTTTGAAATTATGAGTAGGCCTAAATAAAAATAAAAGTATTTTACATAAAATGAATGAATGCAAAGTCAATCAATTGAGACTTATAGTGAAAATATGAGATGCTAGTAAAAGCTATGACTTACTAAATCATAACTATGTACTATGTTAACACTTTGACTTGATATCAATAGTTGAATTTGACCATGAGTCATTTTTTCCATTTAATTCCGGCAGAAAGAGGCTTCCATAATTCCCAGGTCTTACGAGGAGACAAAACAACAACGTGTTGGGCAACAATAAACAAGCAATCCGCATCTATCTATCTATCTATCTATCTATTTTAGTATGTGCCCCACCCCCCCTGCTGGTCATCAACAGTCCCTGCAGCTCATCAGAAAACTGTCTGATAGATTTATTTTCCTTCACTTTGGTTCATGTCGCACGTGCTCTTTTATTTCTCTGTCAGTGTATGTCTCAGAGGATCAGAGCGCCGTGATGCCTTCACTGACCACCGCACTGGTCGGACTGCCTCAGTCTGTGTCCCAGTGAGAAGAAATCTCAGATGGGACACATTAGACGTCACGGAAAGGGCGTAGTTAAGGTCTGTTGTGTTCCTAAATTGCTTCAATAAAATAAATAGTCCGGGGATGTTCTCTGAGGACAAAGACATTTTGCAATAACCTGTATTTGAAATAGTTGCCAGAGATTTGTGGGAATGTTGCCAAGAAAAACAAACTGTAGCCCACAAACTGTTTATGAGGAATCTTAATCACCTTTTTTATGAACTTTAAATGTACTAATATAGGCCTCAAAAATGCTGTACTATGTCTTTACTTTTCCCTGCTGCCCTTATAAGCTCCCTAAAGAAATCTGTCCCCTTCAGAGCGCGCTGGAGCGTCAGGAGCGCAGCGCTGCGCCAAAAAAATAATTAAACGGGGGGGGGCGTGTGCGTATATGGCGCACGCGGAGAGCGCAGCGGCACCAGACTCTCGGGACAGACAGTCGGCTCTGATAGAGTAAGAGTATTTAAAAGGGTTCTGGGACGACGTGAAACTTAGCTGCTCGGCAGCTTGTTGTTCGTCTTTGACAGGAGATTCCCTGCGCGTCTGTCCAAGTGTCAAACCACACAGAATTTCAGCTATCAACGATTTTTCAAAATAAAAGCCTGGCTGGCATTAAAACATTTGAAGCTTGTTTGAGAACGATTCACACCTATTTTGTGTAACCTAATTCACCTTTTCTCCCGAAAGTGACTTTTCCCAGCTCAGTACAGGCTTGGCTAATAACCCATATCCATGACAAGGGTGTATGGAAAAATAAAAATCAACTCTAGGCCTATCAAACTGATTAACCTGCTCAGGAGACTTGTTGGCCCCTATTATCCCTTTGATCAAACACAAACCTGTTTCAGAATATGCACCATGTCAGCTACCTGTAATATAAATTAGATTTGTTCTAAATCTACTAAAGCTACATTTTGAGAACACCCTGGTGAGTTATGGGTTAAGGCAACATAAACCGCTGACCAACATCCTGGGTTCACGTCCGGCCAAGGACCTTTGTTGCATGTTATTCACCATCGCTCTCTCCCCTCCTTTCCTGTCATGTCAGAAATTTAAAAAAAGATCCTTCACAACTAGATTTTAACTCATCACACAAGACAGGATGTCATGATTAAGTAGAAAATGCAGGAGCCACTTTAAGGCACATTGTGTTTTAGTGGTGCATATTACCAGAAAAATGAGCTAATTGGTTAAGTGACCACAAAGTATACCAGAGAGTACACAGACAACCCGAGGCCTTGAGGGCCCTTGAGGGTCTGGGCATTGTTTTGTAAATCAATGGTATTACATAAAGCAGCCTGTTCTGGTCATGAATAGGCCTATTCAATCAATTCAGGCAGGCCTATTCTTAGATAAACAAACAAATACAAATAAATGAATGAATATAAGAGTCAGAAGATCCGTTAGTACGAGTGAAGAAGCTTTCAACTGTATAACATGATCATCTTCAACAGGTGAGGTTCAAAGCAGTTCAAGCTTGAAAAGCTCAAAAAACAGCTGCTGAGGGGGCCTTGTCTTCAGTTAGCTTTCTTTTTAAATAAGTTTCAATCTTCAAGACATTACTTATATTTAAACAAACTGAGACATTTTATTATTTTGTCAAAGTGATGCTTGAACAGCTGATTCACAGAACACACAGAGATACCGGGAAACACTTTCACCGATAACAGTTGGATGAGATAACCAGTGGTTGAATTGTTTTTAAAGAAACAGACAAACCATAAAAGTAAAATTGACCGTTACCTAAAGCATCACATGTTGTTTTTTTAATTTGCTTTGCTTTTATTTTGAAAGACATCCGCAGCCTTTCCTGCGTGTGCGCGCAGCTCTATCTGTCGGACTTGACGCGCCTCTCTCTCCTCTGTGTGTGTTGCCTTTGCGCTGGGGTGAAGCCGCATAGAAAGCGTCTCCATAATGCGGGCGTGAAGCGCTCCATGTAGCGACGCGGATTTAGGGGCGGAGGGGTATTCACCGGCATCACAAACACCGGGTACCGGAGGAATACAATGTCGAACCGAAAGCACCGGGACAACCAGGAGATCTGCGCCCGCAAGGTCCGGGAGCTGGCCCAGTCCGGAGTAAACAAACACTGCTTCGAGTGCAGCCAGCCCGGGGTGACTTACACCGACATCACGGCGGGCAGCTTCGTCTGCACGTCGTGCTCCGGAATGCTGTGAGTGAGGGGAGGGGAGGGGGGGGGCAGCCGCGCCTCCTCCTCCACGGGTTCATTTACGGCACATTTAAGCATCAGTGTGAGGACAAAACCAGATAGTGATAGAGTAAAAGTACCAGGCCTGAGATTGCACCATGCACCACCCTAGAGCCGGATTAACAGTGTGTTATTCTCTTATTTCTCTGCGTTATCGGGGAGTGTTGGTGTGGTGCAACAGCCGAGGTTGTGCGCTCAAATTAATTTACGCAGTCTCTCTCTCTCTCTCGTGCGTGTCTTCCAACAGCTTCATAAACGACAGACCGCTAGTTGGTCATTTTCCAGCTCTGAGTTACGTTTCATTTCGTCATGGTGCAGGTTTGACACGACCCCCCCCCCCCCCCCCCTCTCTCTCCCTCTCCCTCTCTCTCTCTTACTCTCTCTCTCTCTAGGCTCCTCTCCAGTGTGGGTGTGTATATATATATATGTGTGCGTGTGCTGTCACATTCTGTTCTGCATGTTCAGCCTAGTAGTCCCACACACACTCTCACACAGGAAGACTGTTTCAACACTTCACCATGAGCGTTATTGCGCAATCCTGCACATGCACAGCAGTTGTCACACTTTGTGTCCCCGGCATGGAGATAATAAGAGGCGTATGGTTCCTGAAACCACATGTTTCTCTGTCACAAGGCACCCTTAAAACCACGGCTCTTGCCCCCCCTTCATCGTGTCTCAGAGGCGAGGATTCGCTGCACATTTTCCTTAGTTTTGACTCCTAAACTCCTCTCTCCATCTCTCCCAGGAGAGGCCTCAACCCTCCCCATAGAGTCAAGTCCATCTCCATGACAACCTTCTCCCAACAGGAAGTGGAATTCCTCCAAAACCATGGCAACGAGGTGAGTGATGTCCCTAAATCTGGGGCTTCGGGTTGGGCCCTGCAGGCAGAGCTTGATGCACCTATAGACAGAAATGTGTGACTTTGTATCAAATGATCTGAGGCCATTAATCAAATGCTGCAGCGCACCCGTCTCTGTTTTTCTGGTTGAAGTTCAGGTTTCAAACTCACTTTCTGAATCTCTGGAATATGAAACGTCCCTTTATGGCGACCAGTGAACCAGTCTTTGTTTTTGGGAAGAATGCTACTGCCAAGAAACAAAAAGACCAGCACTCTCTGGTCCCACCCAAACCATGATCTATTTCCTGTGTGTGTGTGTGTGTGTATGTGTGTGTGCCAAACCTTTTCGAAACCAGGGCACTTCTTCATCAACTGTAAAATGTCCCCGCTCAGCGCATATCTTGATCCCAATAAAAGAAATTTAAATGTCAATCAATTTAAGGGATATTTGTGAAATGTTTGTTTAATAAAAACTATAGATTATCAGCAGATTAGGGCTGTAAATAATTGCTTTTTTTTTGTCTGATAAACAGTTATTACTATCTCATAAAACAGCAAATATGAAGCTGAGAAGCTGGAAGCAAAGAATGTTTGACATTTGTGCCAGAATAAATATGACATAAACAATGAATCAATTATCAAAATAGTCATTTGAAGTTGTGAAATATCAATATCTTTATTTTCCCCCAAATTTATTATTATTATTTTTTTATGTGGTGAAGCTTTTTATTACCCATTTTGGGAACAACCGGTGAGGGCAGCGCTCACTGCTGAGCTTTTATCACACAAATATACGCTGAAGTGTTTCAGGCTTATCAAGATGAGCGCTGACTGTTTTTATGAGCTCGCTGTTGGCCAGAATGTGTGTGTGTGTGTGTGTGTGTGTGTTAAGTACAATGTGAGGAGAGGCAGAGCTTTTTCTCCACATCATCCTCTGAAGAGTGATCGGCCGGTTATGATTCGTAGGCAGTAATATTTGCATGACTCTTGAACCGGACATGAATCGCTGATAAGAAAATCTTTGTTTGCGAGAGATTCTCCGGGACTATAAGTATAAATTAGACACGGCCCTTTTCCAGCGCTGCAGGTTTCAATTGTTCTCAAAAATGTGTGCGTTCAGGTCGGGAGGAGGACTTGGTTGTGCGTGTTTGACCCAAAGACGGACGGCTGCTCCGACATGAAGGACTCTCAGAAGTTCAAAGAGTTCCTGCAGGACAAATACGAGAAGAAAAAGTGGTGAGAATTGTGGTCCCATGCTAATATCACCAGGCCAAAGGTTTATCTTAATTATCTCTTCATGATTTGCTGTATAAAATATCAGGAAACAGCAAAAAAATCCTCTTTTCGTTGTCCCCAGAGGATGAATCATCTCAGCCTCAGCTGTGACGTTAGTGCTAATTAGCAAATGTCAGCCTGCTGACACAATAAACTAAGATGCCAACGATGGTAACATCATACCTTCTCTACACCAGCATGTTAAGGTTATTTACATACACATTAGCATAAAGCTATGCTAATTTTTCATGTAGCATTTCATTTCATTTGTTCAGATCTTTGGATAATGAGCGAATAGATTGCTGCAGAGATGATGCATTTTTGTAGGCCAAGAGGAAGTTAGCATCGCACTGGTTTCCTCAACAACATGGGATGTTTCCACTGGATTTTGGATTATTGCAGAAAACAAGCTCTGTGGCAAACAAATGTTTTTGACACTTACACGTTTTATTCAGCATGATCGTCACAAATTAGGATTTTTGAAGCATAAATGCAATCGCTAGAAGTAAAAAAAGCTAACAAACTTTGACCACTAAGCTACAGGCGGATTTTGAGCTACATTGTATGTCGGAAAATTGCAATAAAACAAGTAAAGTTAGCATGTTAGCGTGCTGACATTAGCATTTAGCTCATAGCACCGCTGTGCCTGAGTACAGCTTCACAGAGCATGACTGTGGACTCTTGAAAACAATTTTTTTTGAAGATGAATCAATTCTCAAAAAATTGTGACGGATGGAATTTTTCTTTTCAGTTGTTTTCAGCTCTAACGGGGAAAATTAGATCCAAACAACAACTTATGATGTTTGTTCCAAATTTAGACATTTGCTGAATGAAGTGGAGACGCCCACTCAGAAAAATAAGCTCACGGATAAGAGCTGCTTTCATGCTGGGGATAAAAGAACATTGTTTTGTGTTTAGCTTCAAGCCTTCCTAATCATGGTCTTTGATCGGTGGATAACTGACTTAATGTCCAGTTAGTCACCACAGAATGGCACTAAATAACCTGTCTCTTTCAGGCATTTTTCCAAAAGTAAGAACCGGAGGGATGTGGAGGGTCCTTGGAGCCCGGGGGTCCAGGCAGTGCCCCCCTCCCATGGTCCCTTAACCAACCAGGCCCCCTCCCACAACCTGCCCCCTAACGCCAGGTCCACAAGGCCACTGGTGAGAGGCCGAATGTGTCCTAATTGTGCCTGCAATGGGTTTGAGAGAGCAATGAGGAGGAAGGGGAGAGATGCAAGAGAGAAAGTGGGTGGGTGAGGCAGAAAAAAGAGGAAGTGAAAGAAGACAAAGTAGTTTAAAAATAAAAGTGAATAGAAGGTGAGGAAATGACCTGAATTTGCTTCCACACGGCGCCAGAGGGACTCGCGGTCCGGACAGCTAGAGGGCCAGGTAGCCTCGACATCAAAGCCGCTGCTTATGAATTATTGAGAAAGCATGAAAGAGACTCACTTCTTCTGCCTTTGTGTTTTTTTTTCTTCTTTCTACCCCCCCCCACCCCAATCTGCTTCTTTGTCTGTCCTCTCATCTCTTTCCCGCCAGTCTCAGTCCCAGCTGCCGTCGTGGGATCGAGCTCCCGCCATCTCGCCCGCTGACATGCGGACGGACGTGTTCACCGCTCGGCCGCTGCGCTCCCAAAGCTTCAGAGACCCCACTCTGAAAGGTCGGGGGAAGTCCATCTTCATCGGGGGGGGGGCTGATCTTTTTCAGAACCGAGCGGCGATATCGATCCCTTCACCCTATTTCGTCCTTGTCTCTGATGTAGATCCCACCCTGTGCGGGATAGAGAGGCAGCGGCCGGGCTCGCTGTCGTCGGCGCTGGGGGCTCAGAGCCACGTCCCCTCCTTCCCCGCCCTCCCTCGGCCCTCAGGTGTGTCCTCCCCTTGTTTTATAATCCTTCCTGATCTCAATCGAGCTGGAAATATCATTCATCACACATGCAAACTTTAACAAAATCCACATAAATCAATGGATATGTAATATTTACTATAGTAGGAAGGGAAAAAAGACTACAGGAGAAAGATTGCACCAGGTTTATATTAATCCGCCACTAAAAATAGTCCCTAAAAAGCACTATTCTCCCCGTTATTCCCCCTGCTGTTGCACCTTGACAGTGTTTTTTGTTGTGTACCATATCATGTGTGTTTAAAAGCGCTCCATGTCATCATCTTAGCACACTGGGTTGCTTTTCATGAGTACCAACACTCAACAGGAAACGGATGACAGCGAGGAATGAACAGTCTCTCTTCTCTCCTCCCTTAACTTATCCCTCTCTCTCTCTTTTGTCTCTCTTATCTCCCCCTCCCACCGACCTCGTAGCCAGTAGCTCTTTCAAAAACCACTTCACTTTAGGTAAGACGCGGCACCGACCTGCTGCATTTGAATGTGTGCTGAATGGCTGCGATCGATAAGCTCATACCCAAGCGTATCACTCGTGTGAAAATGGCCGGTTCTGTGGGTCATGCTGGTGCCGACCGTGCCTCACCAATCCTGGCTTCATGTTAGCGGCAGTCTGAGAGAAGACGCAGCACTCTTGCCATCTATTTGTCGTGGCTGGCCGGCGTCACGCGCTGCAATTTGGGGTCGATATTTTTCTCCATCGGTCAGGTTTCACCGCTTCAAAGCCACATCTGAAGGCTGGGCGGGTCAAGGAGACACACAGAGGGGGAGAAAAAAAAAGTTTAAAGTTATGCTATTTTTAGGCTGTAGCTGCTGCTGATATTTTTGCACCACGTTGGCGTTGAGGCACTTAAAGAGTATGTAGGACACAGCTGTAATCCCACGATACACACTGACTTCCCCAAAGTACTCCAGGAAGTTCAGGCACGTTTGCAAAGATGGGTCCTATCTGGAGCCCCACAGTGGAGTGGAGTGTATGATCACATCCCCAAAACATGCAGCTGACTGTAGCATGCGTTAAACCTTCAAATAATCTGTATCAAGTCAAGTCTGGTCTGGTTTCTGTCACAGACTCCTCCACTGAAAGAGAACGACAAACCTTTTTATGTGTATTCCCATGCTAACACGTTTGGCTGATGCTAGCATGCTTTGTGGCTAATGTTTGTGGAAAGCTTGCTACCTGCAAACACGTTACTTTCCTGCCTTTGTTACCATCTAACAATTGTATTTTCGTGGTTGGCGCTTTGATAACGATCCAAGAAGTTGTCGCTGTGCTAAGCCTGCATTTGACGAGCCTCGTAGCATGGACATGTAGCATATAGCATGAGAGCAACCGCTTTGTTTTGTGACTTTCTTTTCCTTTTATTTTTGTCCATGTGGATGATAACTTGATTTCTGCAATGGTACAACATATGCTATCATATAATCAGATTAAAGTCCATGAATTGATCTGTATTAAGCGTGGTGTAATCAATAGTATTCCTTGATTATCAAGATCACCTCAAGGTCCATTTAGCAGCTGTTTAGTAGCTTTCGATCGGATCACATGATCTTCAGGTGGAGTTTACACAGCTGACATGGAGTTTTAGGGCACTTTAAGGACTTTTCATCCGTGTCGTCACTTGATGTAGTTAGATTATTCTACCTCTTAATGACTAGTATCACCAGGATTAAGTATCTTTAGCTCTAGACGTGCTTTTACTTTATACAAACCTGTTGAATTAGTTGTGTGTATGTTAGTTTTGTGGAATTGCGACAGCTCTCCTCCTCTGTCTTTGCACTGAAGCTCAGTCTGGTTTCCCCAGGTCGTACGGTATCGGCCTCGGGGACCTCGGGGCCCTTCAGGGCCTTCCCCAAGTCTCTCAGCGTGGACTTCGGAGGTCTGCACCATCCTCATCAGCAGCATCTGCCCCACTCTCTGTCCCAGCAGCAGGCCGGAAGTGTCGGCCAGACGACGGCACCGGTCCCTGGCTCCAACCCCCAGGACAGATACGCTGCGGTGTCACATCTGGACAGCTGTTTCATTGACCCACCCACGGTCACGGGTAGGATTTTTAAGTACATTTTGCTGTTAATACTTAAATACTTTTACTTTAATTTAGATTTTGATGAATTGTACTTGTAATGGAGTGTTGTACATTGTTGTACTGGCACGTCTTCCACCACTATGTAATAGATAGAGGGAGAGGGAGAGTTGGAGTGTGTGTGTGTGTGTGTGATGCAGATTGTCACTGCCAGCTCAACAAGGTTGCATAACATCCTCACACCGAATGCCAAGGCTTTAAGCAGCTGAATTACACTCGCTGTGTTTGCTCCAGATCGTTTAAAGGACCTTGTTGCATTTTAAAAATCAGCTGTATTAGTCTAATGACCGAGGCGGAGGTTTTTTAATGCACATGATTCACGCGAGGAGCCTTTCGAAGCGCCCTACAAGAAGCGTTGTTGTTTTCCTCCTTCATCACAGCCTCCCCTGCCTTTCAGACTGAGGACGGTTATTGATTTTCTGCCCCGTCTCTCTTTAATTCACTTCAAGCTGAGCGCAGAGACGCTATTTTATTCAGGAGGTTTGTAATGCTTTCCTTCTGCTGATGGCTCACACGCTTAGGATCAACTGTTTGATCTCTTTTTGTTTTTTTGGGGATCTTTCCTCACATTTCGAGATAATAGCGCTTGATCTCATTAGAGACTTGGTCCGTGTGAAATGCTTGTTCGCAGCTCCACCTGGCGGTCCGCCGCAGTACAATGCCATCTTCGGCAGCAGGCCCTCGTCCAGCTCCACTCCTGCCAGGTAGAGAAAAACAACAGTCAAATCAGCTTCTGTTTAACGTCACAGATTTTTTTTTTGTATTGCCTGCGTGTGCAGCTCCTTTTAAAGGTCGTATTCTGATCGACTTTTTTCTGTTTCTCCATCCCCAGTTCCCCCGGCGTCGACACGGTCTCCAGCTCCCAAACCTTTGCAAGTAGGTACCGAGCACGAACCGCATTGATTGCTCCTGCTAACCCGCACTGTCCCTCATGTTTTAAAGCCAGCACTCCTAATTAGGATGCATCCGCGTGACTCAGAGCGGTGTTGGTTTGAATAGACAGGAATGCACTCCGTTAACCCCGCACACTGTGAATTATCTCCCCCCGTCTCTTCTGTCTCAGATTTCCCAAACCCGTTCAGCTCCAGCTCCGCTTCCCAGCAGCCCGTCGCCCTCTCCCCCAGTAACCCCTTCAGCAACGCATCAGGAGGTGAGACTCGGGTTCGGGGGTCCTTGAGACGTTCCTCTGCTGCTGACTTTTTTTTATTATTGGGAATGGTCACTTCTTACCATGTTATACATTCATTGAGAAAAAAGTCCTGGTTTTGTGTTCATAGGATTACTTTGCAGAATGATACAATCCAGATTCTGTATGTAGAAAGACTTGTTATTCCTATTTCATATAAAATGCAGAAGAACATTTCTCTTCACGCGGATCTCTTTGCTGCTTCTGATCTCGCTGTATGTGGGTGCATCTTTTTCTCCAGGTGACTCCAGTGCATTCGTCACCTCGCCCACCTCCGACTTTCCTCCGTCTGCCTCCTTCCTAGCACCCAACACCCAGAATGCATTTCACCATGAGTCAGCCAGCAACCAGGAAGCCAACGGTAAAGCTTTTTTAAAATATTTGTCTTGTGTGTTTTAACACTGTCTTCTTATTTGCAGAGAAGATTGTGTCAATGTACTATTTTGGTTTCATTAATGGGTAACAGAAATGTGTTGAGGTTTTGAATTTGTACATCAATTACAGTCGTAGTGAATTAAAGTTTATTATAAAACATAAAATGGACTTCAGACTCACCTAAATCACTTGAGAAACAAAGCCTTTCCTCTTCAGGGAGACTATTAATCCTGCTCTCTATAGCTTAGAGTACACCATATATTTATCCTTTAGACACAGTGGTGTTGAAACATGAGTTGCTCAAGTAAAGGCTGCAAATGAGTCAGTGAGCTCCAGTCCCTTCTTTTCCCTTGGATGTTTGCAATTTAGGTTTTGCGCCATATGTCAAGAAACCATCTTTACTTGTACAGTTTGTGCTTAACGTCATGTTCAAAGTTGTCCACAGTGCTGCCAGCGGCTCTGTGAGGCTGTACTTTGGCACAACTTTCAGCTAAACGCTGACATGCTCACAATAACGATGCTGACATTGCTGATGTTTAGCACCACCGTAGTTTTGTGTGCTAACATTTGCTCATTTGCGTTATTACACGACACAAAGTACATCAGAGGGGGGTGGGAATGTCATTAGTTTTGCAGATGTTTGGTGATAAACTAAAGTATTGCAGAGGAGCATCGATCTCCAAAATGATCACAATCCATCCTGAAGGGGGGGGGGGGGGCAGGAATGCACAACATTTCATGGCAATCGATCCAAATAGTTTTTGAGATATTTCAGTTTGGACCGAAGTGGTGGACTGACTGAGACTGATATTCTGTCCTTCTTAAATTATTTAAAAGCACATAAAATATAGTATTTAACAAAAACTTTTAAAAAATAATAATACAATCTGCAAGGGAGAAGAAAAGCCTAATTTATCACAATTCTGTTTTGATTCAAAATATCAAATATACACTTCACTGATCCGATTACAATTTTGAATAAAAGTAATTCGTTTCAAAGCAAGAAATCTTTATCCTACTAAGAAAGAAAAAAAAGCCAAATATGAAATTAAATAATCATAAAAGAAAAAAGACATTGAGCCATCAATAGAGTAGAATAAAAGCTGCTGCTGCTGTAGCATGCCAGCCATATATGTAATAATCATGATAAACAGTATCTGAGCATCTGTCCCGTTTTGTGTTTCAGGTTTCGCCTCCTTCCCTGCGCCCGACTCTCAGCCCAAAGTCCCTCGGCCGATGTCGGTGAACCCGTTTACGGTGCGTTCACTGCCTCGCAAACAAGTGGCACCAAAGTGCACTTCACGGGGAATAAAAGAGGGCCTTATTTGTATTTTTGTTTTTCTTCACGGGAAGTGTAGTAAAAAGTCTCACCCTTTCTCACCCTTGCCTCTCTTGTCCTTTTCAGGGGAACGTTTACCCCAGTCGAGGGACGTCGCGAAACCCTTTCATCTGACTCCCCCCCACCTCTCCTTACTTCACTCACCCATTTGTCTCCCTCTGGGAACCCGAGAGAGAAGTGAACTTAAGGAGTCGCTGCCATTTCAATGCCTCTGGAGTGTTGTCACCCTCTGGGGGAGGCTTTGACGTAACCCAATTACACCCTCTCTCTCTCTCTCTCTCTCTCTCTCTCTCTCTCTCTCTCTCTCTCTGTCTGTGTTTACGTGTTTGTAGGAGACAAAAACATGTGTGAATGTAATTATGTGGGTGTGTGTGTGTGAGAGAGATCGGTCGCCTGCCGTGTTTGTACCACGTGACATTACGTCAAAAGGTGTTAGTGTGCCGGTAGACGCCAACCTCAGGGCTCAGTGGGAGTCGCGAGTAAACTACTTTTTTTTATTTTTTTGCAGAAACCCACATATATGACACACACATACATGTCGCTGCTGCTACTTTGCTTTCATCTCCTGCTTAAAAAGTGCAACGAAACAGCCCGCCAGTGAATGCATCAGCGTTGTGTCCTGGTTTTTAAAAACAACAACAACAACAACAAAAAGTCTCTCCGTTGTCCAAAGGAAGAGCCAGTTGAGACTCTGCGTCACGAGTTTCTACAGAGGGTCATAAACAGCCTTAACAGCCTCCTGATGCATGTGAATTAGCTTTTCTATGTGATGGGTGTGGGGGACATGTTTGCATTCATCACAGTTTTATTTTATTATTTTATTTTTAGGTCATCCTTTTGCAGGATAATCTATGTTTTTTTTCCACTTCCTAGGCTGCATGCGCTTAGAGGGCTAAAAGGAGATACTACTGAATGTAAAAAAAAAAAAAGAAGAAATTTCAGAATTACTTAAATGTGTGTATATATATATCTATATATATATCTATATATATATATATCTATATATACTTCATGGCTTCATGTTCCGGACCAAAATGTTTCTCGGTTGTTCTTTTTTTTTTTTCGGTTTGACATTGGAGGCGAAGTTCATTTCCCTTATTTTGCCAAAAAGAAAAAGAGATTCATGTGTCTTTGTAATGACAAGTATTCATGTTCATAAAATCAGTTTGTTGCTTCTTAAGACAGTTTGGAGTGTTTCTTTTTGTGTGTTTTTTTACTCATCTCCTAAACAAAAATACAAGCATGAAATGAGAAAATATTCTTAGTTCTTTTTTAAATTTGATTTTGAAAGGCTGTAGTGACTTCTTCTAACAGCAGAGGGCGCTTGATACCCACTCTCCTCTGACCTCGTGCGCAAGGTTACTTTCGGATGCATATTGCATAACATACATACTGCATAAGCGTGCAGTACAAAGATAGAAGCCCTTCCCAGCTTTCAGGATGACTATTAATAGAGCATTTTTTAAAAGATTCATTGACATGTAAAATTCAGAGTAAATCGAAAACATGCATGTTATTGGTGTTATTCGATGGGCTTCCTCTCAGACAGTGAGAGATGGACGTTTCACTGCTCAGCCAGACAGTCGAGGAAAAAAAAACAACAGATCAAAATCATACTCAGACAGTCTTAGTGGCACAAATATGGCGTCTACAAACGCCTCGTTTATTACATTACAGCAGCTCGATGTACTGTTTGTGTAGCATTTAGGAAATAATAAAATCAAAACGACTGTATCCCCACAGGGTGTAATGGGTTCACTGTTAACCTAGATTTTAAATAAGCTTATGCGAACTAATCCTGCTGCATTTAATGTAATGTTTCCATTTCAAAAGCTGCAGGGCTTTAAAAGTTGAGTTGAGGTATAAAACGTATGAATGCAGGACAGAGGTTTTATTTTTATTTTTTCCAAACAATAAATAGAACAGGATGAACTCCCGGCAGAGCCAATACTGAAATCCTACTCCACACACTGGAAGTGTTGCTACCTTCACGTGCTGTAGGAAATATTAAATGTTGCTTGAGTGAGCCTCAGTTGAACTCCCAAGATGCAATACAATCCACCTCATAGCAGCACGAGAAACAGGTACACATTGAAAAAGAGCGAATGGAAATTAAATGGATAAAATCAGAGAATGCATAGAGACATTAAAAAGCTACATTACATAAATTAGATTATATTACAATGTATTATGGCATATAAATGACTACATTTTGAAAAATATACATTTGTAAAAAAACAAGTTCAGTGGTGTCACAAACAAAGCTTCACTAAATACTGAAAAAGTGAAAATGTAAGGACACAGGAAGCAACAACACCTGGTGAAGATGAAGCTAATTTATTACTGTTATTGTGCGAACATGGTGACTTATTTCTAAAAATAAACCTGTTTTGTCTCAAACTAGGTGAAACTCACACAAACTATTATTGCTATCTTCCTGCAAATAATGAAACTTTGCAGATAACGTATAGTCTGCTGTGTGTAATTAAGGCTACTCGGAGGCAACCGAGTTGGAGGGTATTTTCCAGAAGTCTAACATGAGTTGAGCATCTTATTTTAGTGGTGTCAATATAGCAGCCCCCCACAAAAAAAAAAAGAAATCACCCCAGGGCAATTTCTGTTATTAAACTCTTCATAGTTATACGTTATGAGACTCTTCCCCTTTACAAGCATAATGTACTTACTTTTCATTCATCTCCATTCATTCAATATTATCCACCCAGTAATGTTCATTATTGCTCATTATGTGTGGATTTTTTGTTTATTGTTGTCATTATCCAACATCTTACTGTAGATCTCATCTTGGCGAGTCGGGTGCTCTCGTGTCGGAGCCCGGGCTCGGTCCGTGAACGCACCAGTGCTCCAGAGTACTAGTACAGCGGGTGAGTGACAGTCCCGCTCCACGGTAGCTGCTCCGCTGCTCTCCACTCCACAGCCACAAGACTGGAGCCGAGCAGAGCAGAGCAGGGCAGGGCAGGACAGGACAGGACAGGGGGGACAGACAGACAGATAAACAGACAGAGACAGACTGCTGCAGGACGGACTCTGTGCGGTGTGATGTGCAGTAAATGGGATTAAAACGCTCAGACGGCGCTTGAACCACGAGCAGCAGCAGCAGTAGTAGTAAAGGGGGGGAGCTCCGCATGCGTTCGCCCGTGTGGAGAACTTGCTCCGACCTGCAAACAAACCAACCCAAAGACGAGCAAAACTAACGACAGCCGCCAAACAAACCCGGGTTCAGGGTTCAACCGCCGGACTCGGCAGCAGCAGCAAACCCCAAAACTCCCCTCTCACATGCCTGCGTTGATGTGGGAGAGAGGGAGGGGAGCGGAGCCGGTGGACGTTTGAATCTTCTCTCTCTAAACTTGCAGAAAATACTACAAGAGAAATAAAAAAAAAAAGAGTTTGTGCCCGTAAGGGGAGGGAGTTAAAGGAAAGATGTCGGACGTGATGGAGAGCCCGGCGGGCGACCTGCAGAGCTGCGAGGACGTGCGGAAGAGCGGCTACCTCCGCAAGCAGAAGTCCATGCACCGGCGGTACTTCGTGCTCCGCGCCGCCTCGGAGCGCGGCCCGGCCCGCCTGGAGTACTACGAGAGCGAGAAGAAATTCCGCGGCAAGGCCCCCATCCCGAAGAAAGCGGTGGCGCTCGAGACGTGCTTCAACATCAACAAGCGGGCCGACGCCAAGAACAAGCACATGATCGTGCTGTACACGCGGGCCGAGAGCTTCGCCGTGGCCGCGGAGAGCGAGGCGGACCAGGACGAGTGGTACCAGGCCATGGTGGAGCTGCAGTGCAAAAGTAAGTCAAGAGGCGCACGCACACACGCATTGCATGCACGCATTGCACGCACGCTCCCAATACTGTGCCGAGGCTCTGCGCGCGAGGAGAAACGTGGCAGCGCCTTCCAGATCTCGAGCGGCAAGAAGCGCACTGCAGATCGGGACATGTCTCGTTCCAGTGTTTTTTTTTTTTGTTGGGACACCGTGCACCAGGGTTTGTTTGAAAACCATTACAGCTCGCCGAGCCAAGTTTACATTGTTTGTTTCTTCCATTGCCGTGTACACACATTTGAAGGTGGGTGGTGCTTTACACTTTTTAAGAAAACAGGTCGAAGTTCTTTCGGAATGGCCTCCGAGAGGAGTGTGTGTTTGTAAACACGTGCCTTTAAGCTGCGCTGTGGAGTTTATCCCCCCCACCACCAGCACCACCAGCTCTTATCATACTGGTGTCAGGCTTGATATTTACTCCCAGTTGTCCTCCAGACTTTTCGGTTTTTTTGGGGGGCCTCAGCTGTGTGCAAGCTTTGTCTCTCTTTCCCAACTCAAACCCCCCCCTCTCTTGTTTACTTTGCCTGCTCTGCTTTTCTGCTGACACTGCAGTATTACATCAGGCATTGGTCCTGCAAGAGGAGAAAAATGTCCCAAAAAGTAGAGAGAGAGAGAGAAGCGCATTAGCACCTGAGAGGCTCATTCATTCATTAAATATTCATATTTCCTGACTGTAGCTAAGCAGCTTAGGCTGTCCCATCAAGCTTCTCCTGCAGATGGATTTATCTAACGCTGAAAATGTGCAAATGGCCTTTTCTCCAACACTGTCCATCAGCCGCTTGTGTCAACACAGCTGTCGTGAGAGCAGAGGCGAAAAAAAAAAACAGTTCGAATCACCTGTTTGGCCTTCGCTGTGAGAGAGCGACCACAAAGGGACTCGTGACGCAATCGCCGGTAAAGTAAAGATACGGGTTCAAGGTGCACGTGACCTGTTTCTGTTACATAAAGCAGCCGAGGAGGAGAAGAAGATAAATAATATGTTCTGATGTATTTGATAATCTTGTCTTTCATTTTTTTTAAAAACACAGCAGAGTTGCTTCGAGGTGGTTGATTTGGGAGCTCCGAAAAAGCCGAGTCAGGGAGAAAGTCTTGTGTAACCTGTGCAGATTTAAAGTTGGCGTCAACATGTTGCCCCCCTCCCCTCCCCTTGTTGCTTTTACATAACTGTGTCTGTGGGTGGTGCGCGGCCCACTCCTCCCAACTATTTGACGAGTTCCCGCGAGACGGCAGAGTGAGCAGACAGATGTTGGAGCCGAGAGGACTGTGAGAAAACCGTCTCCGAAAGAGCAGGCCGTCTAATCTACGGTCACTTAAGTGGTTTGGTGTGTAAAGGTCAGAAATGGGCAGCAGCTCAGCAGGTGAGTTACCCCCCCCCCCCTCTACAAAGAAGCCAGACCACCAGCAGGCCCGAGCATCACACTGCCGCGGCTCGTCTTTGAAATTACAGGTCCGGTGTGACGCGCCGACGGGCCGCTCGTCTCCCGCTTTTGTTGCTTCACGTGTTGGGTTTCTCGTGTAAATCACGCTTCTCTCCCCCCCCCCGACAGTGACAAAGGGCTGCGGCCGAGCTGCTGTGTAAACCAGCACGTTGGCAGGCGTTTTTACTCGTGGTCTGCGCTGCAGTTCACACACGGTTGTCTACACCATGCAGAAGAACACGAGGCCCCACACACACGATCCAGGGAGTGTTTTGTAAGAGGGGGAGTTGTAGGGTCACGGCCAATTGCTGACTAAACCTGCATGTGTGAGAATAGCTTAATGCACACACACACGTGCGCGCGCTGAACACTGTCAGGATTCCTCCCTGTAACAACCCTCCTCTGCTATGTGCAGATCATAAAGTTTCAAGTCTTTGGCACCTGTATGTGGACTGAACCTTCTCACCCCCCCCCTCCCCTCCCATGCTGTCTCCCCGGCCTCGTCCACACACACACTGTCACTCCAGTGGCGTCAGTACAGTCGGGTATCTGTCTCCCTCACTCGTCCCGGTGGGGAGACAGAAGAATTCACAGCCTGCAGGATGAAGCTCAAGGGGCACAGAGCCAAGAGATGCTGCACTTGTCTTCCAGAGGACCCCCTCCCTCGATGCGATTGATTCCCGCGTAGTCGTTCGTATGGAGCCGTCAAGCTGCTGCAGGAGGGGAAGTTCTCAGCTGGAGCTGGGATCAAAGTTATGGGTCGGGGCTTGGAATAATGGGATTGCTTTGAGTCGGCACAGTGGAAGCACAATAAATACCGCTCACGTCCACGCTGCTTTGGTGCATCGGGCTCTGGGAAACTCCCCTAAAGTGGCCCGGGACCCGTCCCAGTATCGCGCGGCCTTCCCCCCTCGAGCCGGGCGGTAATTGCACAAACACGAGCCAGCTGCCGTGCAGGGTGATATTAGGATCCCAGTTATTTATTCAGCTGAGTCCCGGTAAGACCCTGTCGGGCAGCGAGTACAGTATCAGGCTTGAGGGCAGCTATTTGCTCAGCTATTAGGAGTCAGTCGAGTGTGTAAAGGCTTAACCTTGGTGGAACAGGAGGGAGGTGCGGCCCACGGTTGCCGGTTTGCCAGGAAAACTGTCCCGCAGCTCAGGCACACACCTCAGGAATTGTTGTTGATTTCAATGAAACAATATGGCGGGAGTCAAACTTGCGTGTGCAGAGAGGCTGCATGGATTACAGCAGCAAAATAAATAGTTTTTTCTGCACTTAAGGTCCCTAAACTCGTGCACAGAACTTATTATCTGCAATAACTAACTTGTTGGATTACAAAGATACGTCATCCCTGCAGCACTCTATCGTGATTGGCTTTTGTTCCCTTTTTTTCTGACATTTCGGAGACTCTACAATTGTCAAAAATAATCAAACAGATGAAACTAAAAATAATGCAAACAATCACTAGTTGGAGCTCAACTCAAACGAACCCCAAAACGATTAGCACAGCTAAAAGGACTTTTAACTAAAAAACACAGAATTAAACGTTTTGAGCAAACTCCATCTGTTGATCTCCAATTGATATGCATCTCGTCTTCAGATGGTTTGTTGACTTCGCTGCAGTACAGCAAAGCTCTGTGGAATTTAGTTTTCCGTGCTCGGAGCTGATAATGACATGGTTACTGTTCATGCTAATCCCCTGACCTCAGTGTGAGCAGTGTTCCCCTGACTGTAGATGTGTTTTCACTTCGGTCGGCGGATTACCAGGATGTAGTTTTTGACACTTTTAAAAACACCACAAAGCAAACGCCAGAGTTTCAGTGTGGGCAAATCACACCAGAACTCTCACACCCTAACTAATATGAGGAGAAATGTGTTTTTATGTGAGTTGCGTATAGAAGGCCTCTCTGTCAGACTCTCTGATTGTCGTTTGGCTGCTCTGACCAATGAGATTTGGATCTCACCGGTGGCTCGCAGAGCCGTCCGATTAAACGTTAAGCCGCGCTTAAGCACTGCTCATCTCCCTAATTAGGGAGTAATTATTGTCTCGAGGGCCAGCCGCTGGTGGCACAGAGGCTGTGTGCTAATAGAGTCGGAGAGGAGAGTGTCTCTGAGGAGGGGAAATCTTACAAACTATAGGGTAGAAACTGATCACTGGTCTTTTTTTGAAGTGGGTCTTTGCCGCTAAATTGTCCTAGCTCCAGGCTCGAGAGCTGCCACAAGGTATTTCCTCTGCGTAAATTGTTTGCGCACGTTAACACCCTGTAATTTAATTTCAACACGACAACATTGGCCAGCCAGGGGGGCACCGAGATCCATTTCGTCGATGAGCGGCTATATGTTGAGCAGGAAGGAGCCGTGGCGCGTAGTAAACCCTTATATGGCGAGCCGCATTGATCGCTATTTGGTTGATAAGGGCCCATTACCGCCGTCATAGTGGAGTCAGGAGGCTGATGGGTTGGGATTCATCGGCCTTACAGTGAACGCATTAGGAGACGTGAGGGAAGAGCTTCCTCATTAGCTGCTGTGCTGCTCCTCTGGGAGGTTCAACACAACGTACTGCATTGATTGGATGGACTGTAACACAATCTTTGCAGTAACTAAAAAAAAATTCCAAATGTAGAAGCATACTAATAATATTGTAAAAGGAAGGAACTTTGTTTCTGGAATTAAACCCAGGAGTTGTCGAGTAAAATGAGGTGAAAGTGGTTAAAAACGTCTTAGCACAAAGGAATGTAGAGGGTATTAAATCATTTTCATATTTCTTTTGGACGCACACACACTTTCTCCAACTAATGATTTTATACGCTTAAACCTTAATTGAATTCTCTGCACTTTTTATATGAACTTATGTATGAAAACTTTAAAAAAGAAACTTGGAGAGGTCACTTGCCCAGAAGACCAGAACAAATTCCTGAATGATTTAATTCCAAGATTTAATTTATCCGATCTGGAAGATTTGCGCAAGATGAAAGTCATCCCGGTTTTTCAAAGCCAAATATTACTTTGCTAAAAAGAAAAACATGAAGCTGGACCGTAATAGTAAGCACAGTGTTGTTCCCATTTCCAATGAATTCGGGGGACTCTTTGCATGTTCTGCTTGGATGTTGCTGGGACATTATGTTCACTAACTCCGAGCCAGGCTCACCGGCAATGTCCAAGATGGCGGCCGGTTTGGCGAGAGCATCTGAGCAGATTTTTCAGAGAGCTTCAGATCACTTTCATGGAGTTTCTCTTGTGCGTCTTGTCAAACGGGACGGCAAACCTTGTATGCGTCACCGATAATTTCCTACACTTACGTGTGTCTTTGCTTGTGTGTGTGTGTGTGTGTGTGTGTGTGTGTGTGCTCCTCCGGCTAAACACAAACCACATGTGAAACAAACCTTCAGGCAGATGCTGGTGTTGTGGATGCATTGTGTCCCTGAGTGTGGGCCCAGATAGGGGGATTATAGATGGTAAGCGATGGATGAAGAGATGGGAAGTGGAGGGGTTGAAAAAGAGGGAAACAGGCACACATGGGAGGAAGAGATTAGACCAACTGTTTTCACTGCCGAGTGTCTCTCTCTTTTTTTTTTTTTCTCCCTGAGACACGCTAGGACAAAAAGTCCACAGCTGTCTCCTATCTGGTAAGCGGCTATGGCAGCGGGGGTGGTATAGGGGGCACGGCGGCCATTAGAAAATGGGGCTCAGCCCTCAAGAAGTTTGTGTGCAGCGTTCTGCGGTGTTATGGCTGCGGCACGGCGTGCTAGGGCAATGAGATCAGAAACTTGAAACAGAACCTAGTGAGAGTCAGCCGGTTCGCTGCCAGAGTCGTTCTCCCTGATTTACAGGCTGCATTAGCTGACTAAGAAGAGGGATGTTATTCTGAATCTTGGTACAAGATACTGAATAGAAATGCATTAAATACACGTTGCCTGACTGTAATTTTTAAAGATGGAAATGAGAGGCGGTGGCAACACTTTGGTGTTGTTTTAGTGCCTAAACATGAACCTTTTTATATTTTAAATCTTAAATCAACTAGAATCCCACCCAGTGGTGCTTCAATAAGAATATCTGTTCTTGCGGCTGAGCTGATACAAGCTACTATGGAAAACCTACTTCCTTAGAATTTGTTTGATAACCCTAAAACTAATCAGCCACTCGGTGGAGGAACTGTCAATATCCCAGCAGGCATCTGGCCGCCCCAGGGGGGTAAATATCCCAGCCCCATACCCCGCTAAACACACACATGCACACTCCAGCAGCACGTTACAAAGTAAGGGAGACACCGAGCCGCCTAAAAGCCAATAACTCACATTTTAAAAACCCCAGTTAGAGAAAATGAGAGTAGATTATGGCCTCTTTATATTCCGTCTATGGTATCAGTGGAGGCAGCTCGAGCACAGCAAATACGCGGCATGACTCATGACTTTCAGTCGCGCACGCACGACTGAAAGTTTCATGTGTGGTCACAGTCGAAAGCGAAGTAAACAACTGGTGCGTGAATAAGCCAGTGTGAGTTGTTTTTTAGTTTGCTAAAAAGGGGGAACACGATGTCAAAGCTTTGGAACAAGTCACAGTTACCTTGCGTGAACCCTTTGACCCGATATACACCCTCCCATCAAGGTTGCATCGCCCTCATTCAACCAAGCAAGCTCAGCACTCAAAGCGTTATCACCCCCAGGGGTGTTTTGACTCATCGTGCATCCGCCTTTAATATCCATCTCCTGTTATCTGCTGCTATGGGCGCGTGTTTTTCTGAGGGCTCATTATGTTGTATAGGGGCGGCAGAAGCTGACCGGCTGATAACCTCTTCATGCCAAGTGGGGGGGGGGGAAACCGCTCCCAACAACCATGTCTGCTGAGCGCTACACTGCCATTGCAATCTATAATTCATAACCCTCGCTTTATGTAACTCTGACGGGACGGTCTACGATGTTCGATGGGAGGAAATCGGTCGGCGTCCCTGTAGGGGTCTGGGGAAAGCCTCTTAAAGGTTTTCAGTGCTTTTGAGAGTCTCTGATAAGTGAGCGCAGTCCGAGTGGCCCTGAGATCAAGGGTGTCGGTGTGCGGGGAGTGCTGTCGAGGGCACAGCTGAGGTTTAAGGCTGCACTGTACTCAAAACAAACAACACACTTGTGCTCTCCTAAAAGACGCGTTATCCGGCTCTTGAAAAGGAAAAACGATACTCCTCGAGGAACATGCAGTCTCAAGAAGCAACGGGATCGCAAGTTTGATTGTAGAATAATTAAAGGCTGATAAGACTTTTTTTTTAATCCAAGCAATCCTTTCCTCCTTAAATATTCTTGGAAAAGACCATTTCCCCCCCCCCCCCCCACCCCCACCCTGCGGTCCCTAGTTCCCTTCTGTCCCAACTGAAAAAGATCCCCAAACCATCCCTTCCTGTTGTAAATCTAAATCGAGGAGGAACACAGGGCTTCTTGCACACGGAGAGAAGCAGTGCATGAAACAGCCATGCATGGCCTTGAGTGAGTCATCTAATGTAGTGGGGGGGGGGAGTGCCTCCACACAGCCACTAAGCCACAGCCTCCACGGCTTTCAACAAAACATCTATTCTAAGTCTCTCTCAAGTTCCGCGCGATCCTCCAATTTTGGGAAAGCAAAAAAAACTGGAAGAAGACGCGTTTTCTGAAATCTAAAGTAAAAATGTTTCGGGAAGAGAATCTTGGGGGGAAATGTTTGTCGCAACGGAAACTCGGCCGATATGGCGTCCACTGTGCACGCTGAGGCTTCTTGTCTACATATGGTTGTCATTGTAGGATTTGCAACAGAGTCTTGGGAAAGGAAGAACGCATGCAGACGTACAATCATATTTGTAATTCTGTGGTCCCGGTGCACTGTGATTAGCCGGATTGGGCCAAAATCATTGCTTAAAGTAGAATACCACACAAACATTTGTGAAAAATATGATGTCACTCGGTGACTTGTCAAACCGATCTTCAATACTCCAGATGTAACGGTCTCAATAAGGCAGGTGCTCATTACTGCACAAAGAACACCCTGTTCCCACAAAGGGAACACGTGAGGTTTTGTTTCGTCAGTCTTGATGTTTGGGTTGTAGTTGGCATGCTCAGACACAACCAACCTGGCAGTTTGACAGAGAGAACTCATCAAATGCGGTGCATGTGAGGAAAGGATCCACATTTAAGGAACACTTTAGTGTGGTTTCCCACGAAGAAGAAGAAGAAGAAGAAGAATCCACCCTAAAACATGAGTCACATCAAGGTATTTCTATAATCCCGGGCTTTTTAGTCAACACATACGAGGTTTCTTGTGCCCGCAAGTTAAGGAGCTTAGAGGTAAATCTGTTGAATATTCAGAGTTGGTGTCGATGGCTGCCGACAATAAATTGCACAGCATTATAGAATTAAGGTAATTTTCTCGGTTCCTGCTTCAGGCCTGTGAACAATAAGGTGACTTAAAACACCAAACATCCAGCTAAATGTTGTATTAGGAAGTCCCGGGCCTTTGTATGCCCACACCAGCCCAGGATCAAATCTCACCAAGAACTTTCCCTCCTGTTTTTCTTTGCCTCAGTAATTCTCTCCCGTCTGAATACAGAAACACAAAGGGTGAATGGACTGCCTGTGCTCCTGCTAAAAGACACTAGATTTTATTGGTTTACAAAGCCAGTTTATTGTCAGTAGAGCAGTTCCAGAGAATGGCTCTTGAAGAGCTTATTAAGTGCTTTGCTCTGAGGTTTTCTGACCATCTATTGGCATTGTTTGCTTTTGGTTTTTGGAGAAGATTCACTTGTTAAGCATTTTCCGCAAGTTGGTTCACTTACGTTTTTTTTCCACAGCGGTTGCTTTTCTTTCAAAGTCATCATTCTTGCGCCGGGGCTTCAGTTGTCAACGGCTTCGTAATTCCACGCTGGTGCGTGTGCTTGTGTGAGTGTCGGGTTGTCTGTGTGCGGTTGACAAATGAGACCCCATGTATGGAGCCTGCAGGTCTCACATGCTCCATTTCAACTCTGTTTGATCTGGTTTACAAATCTGTGAAAAGCTCAATATCGGCACAGCTTACATAATAGTGGCACCTTGCCCTCCACTAACAGGTAAATAGTGGTGGTTTCCCTTTGTTCACAGATGTTTGAAGGTCATGTCACTGCTTTGTTGTAACCAGCGCTCTTCATAAATCCTCCTCCGTAATTTTTTAACCTCTGTTTTTTCTTATCCAGTCATATCCTCCTCTTTTCTACTCCAACAACCTTTTTAAATCCCCTTCTTCTTCTTCTGTTCTGTCCCTGTAGGTAAGAACCTCGCTGATAGCGTGGAAGGGGGGGACTACGGAGTGCCGAATCCCGGGCCTGCGTTCAAAGAGGTGTGGCAGGTGAAGGTGTGGCCGAAGGGCCTGGGTCAAGCCAAGAACTTGGTGGGCATCTATCGCCTTTGCCTGACCGACAAGACGGTCAACTTCGTCAAGCTCAACTCTGACGCTGCTGCCGTGGTGCTGCAGCTGATGAACGTCCGGCGCTGTGGCCATTCGGAAAACTTCTTCTTCGTCGAGGTGGGGCGCTCTGCCGTGACAGGCCCGGGCGAGTTCTGGATGCAGGTGAGCCTGTAATCTGCAGTCCCCATAACGTTGAGAGTTGCACCCTCCAATCCCATCTATACGTAAAGAGCCTATAATCTACAGAGTCAGAGAAACTATAAAGTTACGCAACATTATGGTTAAAGCTCATGTAACCCCACATTATGGTCCAATTGATAAAGGTTGTTGCTTTAACTTAAGGTGGAAATTAAAAGTGGTGGATACATTATGCTTTGGTATTGTTTAGGGATGTCAGTTACTTTTGCTTTCAATAGCCCAACACCCAAAACCCTGTAACTAACCGGTTAACTTTAAAGAAAAAATTTGAAATACAGAGGCGCTTTCCTTCTAGTCCAGCACTCCTTTGACTCAGTGAAGTTAAGTGCCGAATTTCGAAGCGCTATGGAATTAGAGGTGCTGAAATTTTAATGTTTCGCTCGGGTATTTGTGTGACACAGCTGGACACACACACACACACACACACACACACACAGCTGTGTGGCACACACACCAAAGCTCGCTGCTGAACGTCTTGCATGAACAGCCCCTATTCTCGGTGGTTAACTGTCTACATGCCTGGTATTGTTTTAGTACCCAAGCCTTTAGATTTTAAAACTCAATCTTAAACCAACTTCACGACACTCAGCGGTAGTGAAATGAATCTCAGAAGGCATTCAAATGAAAGAAAAAGAGTAGTCGACCAGTATTTGAGCTGATACTCGTTAAATACAAACATGGTTTACCATTAGAATAAAGAATTCCAAAGAATATTCAGTTAAAATTCTCTCAGTGGTTTGATTTGTAACTTAAGAATTAATTCACATATAAATTTACCAGAGTTATGTTTTGAGTTCACTATTTGAGAGTTGTTTTTGTGTCATGGGTTAGGTGGATGATTCTGTGGTGGCCCAGAACATGCATGAAACCTTGCTGGAAGCCATGAAGGCACTGAGCGAGGAGTTTCGCCAACGCAGCAAGTCTCAGTCGAACTCCGGCCCTGGAGGAGGTGCTACTGCTTCTAACCCCATCAGTGTTCCCTCACGCCGCCACCACCCAAACCCTCCGCCCAGCCAGGTGGGCTTCACTCGCCGGCCCCGAACAGAGCCTCCAGGAGGAGCTAACAGTGGAGCAGTGGTCAGCAGTGCCAACGCTTCTCCCACCCCACGGCATAGCTTCCCGAGGTCTCGCACTGCAAGTGACGGGGGGAAAGGTGAGGATGGGATAGGAGGGACCACGCCACTCCAAGGGACTTGCTCCAGCCCCTCCACCAATGGCTTGTGCTCCACCACCCCAATCCTTAGGTCAAAATCAGCCCGTTCAGCCCCCACCACAGCTCCTAAAACTCCTCTTGGGTTGATGCGTTCCATCTCCACCCCGGTGCCGTCCCCAGCCCCAAGCCTCTCTGGGCATGGCTCTGAGTTTGGAGTCGTGACATCTGCAGGTGCTGGTCCAGGGTCTGGTGCCTACAGTCGCGTCCCCTCCAGTCGCGCCTCTGTCTCAGGCTCACCCAGTGACTATGGCTCCTCAGACGAGTATGGCTCGAGTCCTGTGGATCCCACTCTTCTCCCCTCCCCGAGCCTCCCCGGAAGCTCTGTTGGTAGCGCTGGCAGCCAGTCCCTTGGCGAGGAGGGAGCCAACTATATCCTAATGGGCCAACGAAGTGGTGGTGGTGGTGGTAGCAACAGCAACCAAGGGGGCTTGACATCCAGTTCCCTGCCAGCACCAGTAACACCAGCCTGTGGCTCCCAGCCACAGACCAGAAGAGTTCTACGCCGCTCCTCCAGTCGCGAATGTGAAGCTGAACATAGGCTGCTGAGCAAGCGGGCTTCATTACCTCCTATGGCCCTGGAGAGGCTGGCCCCACGTCAGCGCAGAGCTGAGGAGCCAGCAGATGAAGATTCAGCCGATTATGCCATCATGTCCAGGAGCACCAGCCGCGAGTCTTTTGCTTCCACCTCCTCTACCCCACAGAGGGAATCTGTCATGGGTGCTGGGTCAGCAGGGGGAGGGGGAGGGTACTTGGACGTGGCAGGTGAGTTTAAAAGTGAAGTGGGTGGAGTAGCCAGTAGTAGTGTAGAAATAGGTGTGGACAATGGCTACATGTCCATGCTGCCTGGCGCCAGTCAGCCTCCAGCATCCCTGTCCCAGTTGTTGGCTGTCTCTGTCCCAGACTCCGATTCCAAACCTGCTGACGATTACATGGCCATGACCCCTAACAACAGCGTGTCCCCACCACAGCAGATCCGGCCTCCACCAGCTTCTGATGGCTACATGATAATGTCCCCCAATAGCAGCTGCTCCCCTGACCAGCGTGGGGGTCTCTCTGGAGGAGCTTGGCTGGGCAGTGGTAGTGCAGACAGCAGGGCAGGCAGTGACTATATGAACATGTCTCCAATCAGTGCACGTTCGGTAAATGGCAGCCCCCCACCACCTGAACACACCAGTCATTTGGAGACCGGTTCTCAACAGCAACCCCCCAAGATGGTTTATTCTTACTATTCTCTTCCCCGCTCATACAAACATAACCCCTCTGCTGGACATTTTGACGATGGGCCCGGGCGAGGCAGGAGGACCAATGGGAGTTTTACTAGAGGAATGGGTGGAGGTAGGACTGTGGGAGGGCGTCAGGAGCCAACACCAGCAGGCAATTCAGCGGTTGGACGCCACCTGTCACTCTCCTCTTCCTCATACTCCTCCAGCTCAGCCAGCAGCGAGAGCCTCGGGGAGAGCGAGGACCGGGCTACCCAGGCAGTGAGCCCCATGGCTGGGGGAACTCAGTCCAAAGATGGGAGTAAGCTCCAGCAGAGACGGGGCTCTGGTGGATTGTCCAAGCAGGGTAGCCATGGTAGGAACAGACCAGTGAGCCTGTTTGTTGACGTATCCAAGGCTAACACCCTCCCTAGGGTCCGTGAGAACCCCCTGCCCCCAGAACCTAAGAGCCCTGGGGAGTATGTAAGCATTGAGTTTAAGGGGGAGAAGAGCGGCCAGAATGGGGTTGGAGGAGGGCGCGGCCGGGGTCTCAGACATGGCTTATCACTGCCTCATAGCTCAAGCAGCAAGCATCATCAACACAGGCCAACTTCTTGCTTAGGGAACTTTATCCCCCTTTCCCGTAGCCCCTCTGCCCCTATTACCCCCCCAGCTGCCTGTGAGTACGTCAACATGGACTTGGGCCCTTCTCCGTCCCCCTCACCCCTCTCCCTTACTCCTCTAGTTTTCCCCTCCTTCCACACCCCTCCCACGCCACCAACTCTTGCCCATCCTCCCAAATCATGTGATGAGGGTACTTCTGGTCCTCGTGAAGAGGGGGCCAAAGTGGCCGAAGCCCCACTTAGGAAAAGCCGAGAAAGTGTCCCTTCAGTGTCTGAGTCTGAGTCCCCAACATCCTGTGGAGACTACACAGACATGGTCTTCAGCTTGAATAGCAACACCATCCCCAGGTCATCATCCAGTGTCTCCCCCAAAGCCCCTTCCCCCACCAGGACTGATCTCCCTGTTCCAGTGCTATCACGGGGTTTAGACTTCCCCCTGGCCAAACCCGGGCCCAACCCAGACCACGGGGCTAAAGTTATCCGGGCCGACCCCCAAGGACGCAGGCGGCACTGCTCAGAAACCTTCCTTGCCTTGCCTTCCCTCCCCACCTCTACCTCTACTTCCTCTGCCTCCACTGCCTCCCTCTTTCCAGAACACCCCCAAGCTGTGGCCCGCCGGCTGGGCTTTGAAAGCATGCTGTGGGGGAATGGTGCTGTGACTGACAACCCCACTCAGTTCGCCCTCCCTGGACAGCAGTCCCTTCCCACAAACTCTCAGACTTCGTCCACAGAGCAAGGCCTTAACTACATAGACTTGGACTTGGCCAACAAAGAGGGCCCCCATTTGGGCCTGGATGGACCCTCGGGAAGCCAGGCCCCCTCTCGCCTCTTTTCTGTACTGGGTGGAGGTTCTGGGGTCGTGGGCGCGGCAGTCGGCAGCAGCTCAACACTCAACACTTACGCCAGCATCGACTTCTACAAATCAGAGGAGCTGCGGACGCATCAGAATGGAAACAAGGAGGGAACAGGTAAGAGTTGCCATTGTTCTTTTAAAGCACATTTGTTAGACTCTGTTCAGCTCTGTGACATTATTCAGATAGAAAAGAAGAATACGCTTCCTCCCTTATGCTTGTAATCAAACTTTACCTGGCGCCAGGTAGACACAAGTTTAATTTGTATGACTGTCTGCTTAATCCACAATATGAGATATAGGTCGTCTGCTCGGACAATTCATAAGTAGATTTCTTCTTAAGGCATATGCACACTTTTTACCTTATGTGATTATGTAAGGTGCTGAAGGCCAGACAACCTATTGGAATAACAATGAATATAGATTTTTTTGGAAATGACTATTGATCCCTTCGAGGCTTCCTATTGATGTTCGGGGGCAGATTCAGGAGACGTTTGCCAAGCGGCAGAATCCTTCTGCTCCAGAAGAGCCGTTACTTTCCAAGTAGAAGAGCTTTTTGCGAACAGCTCACCGCACAAAGAGCAAAGGAAACCGTTTTTTGCATACCATTGAAGCGTTCTTCAAGTTAAATAAAGTTGAACTCTGGCCCGGTTTTCCGTTGACCTGATAACCTCCAACGGGACACGAGTAGAGGAAACCAGTGGAGGAGAAAAAAAGATTGTTCCTAAATATTTAGATTTCCCAGAACCCCACATCTTTGACATTATGATGCTGTATTGAAGAATAGTATGCAAGCATTGAAGTGGGGTAGCCAGGCTTCTAGATGTGGCAATAAGAAAGTAGTTTTCTATGATTTGAACATCGCTTAATCCGAGCAGACGGCTGTGATTGTTCAGTTTTAACCACCTACAGGGCTTTCTTTTTCTGTGGTCGCATATTAGAAAGCATCCACAGAAATCTACTTTATTGTCAAGAAAGGGAGGTCAATGAGGCCAGATGATGAAATTTTATTGTATGTAATTTTTTCCCCCTACTATGTGGGGTAATGCTCTAGTGGTGGGGTTCCACCGCAGCTAAACAATGCCTCAACTAGGTCACCATGAGACGTTTCCTCATAGAACAACATTCTCTTTGAGCCACTGTCTGCACTAAATTGCCCCGTTAAGAAATAGACGCCTGCAGATGGAGAGGCATTTAAATGGAGATGTGGATTTATATGCATCAGTAAAACACTCAGTAGTCTTACTTAGCCTTCCCACAGTGGGGCTCTTGTGATGAATGCGTCCTGCCAAGCCTTGTTGTTTATGTAGCCCTGCTAGCTTCCACTTGATTTGTACCGAAGGTTGTGTCAGACTTAAAACCCTCACGGGGTTCTGCGGTGAACATTTCATAGGCCCGGCTCAGAGTTGGATTTAATAAAGAACTTGAGGCATTAGCAAAAATTCATCGAGGGATCTTGTGGTGAGAGCAGTGCGGCTGGGTTTTTTTTATATTCCACACAAGGAAATTAACCATCAGTCGGCATCCATACGTACCCGTTTTTGGTTTTATTGGGAAGTGGAGGCCGCGTTGGTGGATGCAGACAGTGTTGTTGTGTGTATTTTAAATATATAAGCCAGCAGGCGACCACAGTGGGGCCATATGGGCTCTGGCTGCTGAGTATGTCAGCGGGGCAGCGTGGGGGGACAGTGTTGCACATTGGCTGTGAATGTTGAGATGGGGCCAGTGTTTCACTCACACAGCTCTCAAATGCCTCTGTACAGTGCGCCCCCCCCTCCTTTCATCCCTCCATTCTGCCTCCCCCTCTTTCCTCCTCCAATAAATGATTCTTTTGTTCGAGTGTTTTTGCCGCAGTTGGCTGGCAGGCCTCAAGCCCCAAGACTAGTGGGCTCTCCTGAAAGAGTTTCCCCCTGCAGTCCGCAATTTGTGGCCTTTTCTGTCTTGCTTTCTTGATTCCTTTCTCGCCCGACTCTTCTCTGTATTTCTGTCTTTGTTCTTCTGTTTGACTCCTTTTACCTCGCACTTCTTCTTTGTACTACAATCTGCGTCCTCTCCCGACATGCAGTCTTGACAGATTTTTGAAATTCCTTCCCTCCCTGTTCAACATTTTCCACCAAAAAACGCCTTTTCGTCCTCCTTTCCTTTTCACATTGTGTTTCACTCCGTCCTTTTAAACGCTTGCAGAGACGCTTAAAAATAGATGTTTAGTGTCGCGCTGAGACGTTTTCCTTTTGCAACCAGAGAAAGAGACGGACGACAACAAAAAGCAAAAATGCAGAGAGGGTACACGGCGACCCATCTATTCGTTATACTCCAAACTAAATACAGTTTAGAAACGATTAATTATCTTGTCTGCATGGATTCTCTGTGCTGTAATTACAACAGGACAGCTCGTAGAGAAAAAGAGTGCACGTCTTAGGTCTGCATACTTTAGGCACAGAGGGCCAAAGGCTACATTTGAACATCAGTAGTGGGACATGTGCCAAAGACAATCCTATTTAACACCGGTTATGTAATGTGCAAAAATAACCTCACATGATTTAGATAATGAGGAAAAGCAGCGTGATCTATTTCTCTCTAAATTACATATTTAACAAAATCTAAATAAATGCAACAAATGTGACGTGCGTGTGGGCTTTGTTGCCCTGCGGCTAATACTTTGAGCCTTTGTGTAGAAAAATGTAAGCGACTGTGTTTGTGTGTCTGCTTTTTATTGAAGCTCAGCCAACGTGTGGGTTTTTCACTTAGCTGCGTGTAGGTGTTTCCCTCCTAATGTGTGCCGTCCTGACCTTGCGCAGAACGGAGCGAAACATCAGTTCATGAAGTGGAAAGGATTTTTCGGGACAAAATGTTAATTGGATTAAATCCGCCACCACTCCCACGAACTCCTCCAGAGAAAAAAAAAAAAAAGGAAGAGTGTATTATCCACGCTCCCAGCTGTCCTTGAACTCTATTTCTTTACCATCTGGAGGAGGATGTGTGTGCCAGCTTCAAAATAACCTGTAGCTCTTTTAAAACTCCTTCCACGCCACGGGACACACTACGTCGAGGAAGGAGCGTCTAATGGGGAGAGCCATGAATATTTATTGTGTCAAATTTTGCCTCGATCCATCTGGAAACATTGTTGTTGTTCACAGAAGTGAGGCTGTTTGCATTTGTTTACTGTTGGCTAATTGGAGAAAGTCATGCGTAACTGACCAAGTGCATCAGTATCTACAGTGTGCATCGGTTTTAATAACTAAGATCAAGATGCTACACAAATTGTTAATTAGTTAGGCCATATGAATCAAATCTTCTATCACGGTGTATATTCTATATACACATAGTGGTTTGTGTTTAGATGTGAATAATTCATTTAAGAAGCTGGTCGAAGATAAAGTAAACAGATGAAAAAAAACTGTATAGTAATTAAAAAATACTAGAAAATATATCAGTTGATAATATTACAATTACAAACCCCTATCAAAATATGTATGTATATATAAAAAATACAAGAACTCTCCAAAATAACAACTGAACTAGAACTTTAACACCACAGAAATAAATCCATACCGACGTTGACCCTCCCAGCAACATGTGCTTTTATTGGCCTGGTTGGCAGCTGGTTGCTACCTCCTCCATGTCCCGGGTCACGTGTGCCAGGAAGAGGTAAACATACTTAAAGTCAGTCGGTGGAGCGACGTGGAACTCGCACACAGCCAAGTCCTTTCAGCAACCAAGTCCTGTCCACCATAGACATTAGAAGTGACGTGTAATCTCCCAATCAGCCCGTCTGTCTGTCTGAGAGAGAGCTAAGGATAAGTCAGGTTTATTACGACCGGGTCTTAGTATCACTTTGGCAGTAACGTTGTACTCAACTAAAGTAATTATCAACAGGAAAAGAAGCAGTCGGACGATCCGACCAGTTGTAAAGAAGCCAACTTGCCTTTTTAACATTTATTTATATATTTATTTATATATATGTATGTATGTATGTATGTATGTATGTATGTATGTATGTATGTATGTATATACTGAGTACATGTTGTAACTAAATACACACACACATTCACTCCTCTACAACCCTGCCCCCCCCTCACAGTTTTCTTTATGCAGCTGACAGCCTTTTATTGTTGGGTGTGTACTCTAGGGCAACACTAGGTTAGACTAACAACTCTAGTGGTATTATGTAAAACACGACCACGTGGTCGGGACATGACCCCCGATCGGGTGAGGCTCAGGGCAGAATGTGTGTGTGTGTGCGTGCGTCTGTCGTTTTAACCTACTTTGTGCGGGAATCACCTAGAGTGAGTCCGTCAGCGTGGCGACACTCAGCTCTGCTTGCATTCAGAGTGTAAACGCACACAGATGTGGAGCAGCGGGAGGGAAATTGCGGAGGACAAAAAAACACCCTGCATTTTCTCCAATTCAGCGTTTATTTATCAAGCGTGACCCCTTTTGAGATCAAGGCAGACCAACAGCAATGCATTTAGATAAAAGCAACTTCATAATATCATATTTCAACTAGTTATTAGCCTCCCAGAGTCTTGTACTCGGCTGCTGTGTAATCAACTGTATGGGTATGAAAAACAGGACAATATGGGAGGTTCTTATGATTACATAATCCATATTAAGATGGAAATTTAGCTCAAATTTCTCCGCATTGCAACTTTCCTTCATTATCCTAATTACAGCGTTGCCCACAGGGGGAGATGCAGGACAACCTGCGTGTTTCCACGAGGACAGCAGAGAAGTCTGGATCCATTTCCGTGCCAGTTTGAGTAAACAAAAGCCATATTTCTGTGTTCATTTCATATTTTCCCCTCACATTTTGATAGGTTCCCTTTTTTTGGAAAATAACACAAAATGGAGGACGGTCTCTTTTTGTTGTTGTTGGGCATAGTTTGTTTCTGTTAAAGTCAAGGTCGTGTAGTTGTTCTGCAGTCCGGTTTGCTTTGTTTGGGTGGTCTGTTCAGGGAGTCACCGAACTCACACCGCACATAGCAACAGCTCTCCTCTGTTTGGGTTTTTTAGGGAGTGTTGAAGGCTGTGTGTCCGTCATCACCACACACGCACATAAACACACACACGCTTTTATTCGAGGACTCGAAGGCTGGGACGCGTTTTCTTTCCTCTCTCACTTCAAGCACAGACCGTGTGATGAGGTCATCTGCGTGCGTCGCGGCGGCAGCATCGACTCATTAACCGGCCCTCGCCTCTGTGCAATTAGGCGAAACCGAGGACTGGAGGAGTAATCTAAGTTGAACGCTGACACACACACACACAGATTTGTGACGGTTGATCGGGCTACGGGACAGCACATGGAGCTCTTAACTGTAGAAAAAACCCCGGTTTCCTCACTGGGTTCACTCTTTACTCTGCCATCAGCTCTTTTGCTAACCCGTATGAGCTCGCTAATAGCACCACAAATCTCTTTGCAGCCACATCTGGCGCCATGATGGAGATCCGCTGGAGAGTTTTGCTGACATGCGCTTGATATATAATAGGTGCTGTAAACAGGTCCAAATGTTTGTTTTATTTAGGTTTCATTTGCATGCAACAGATGGATTTTAGTGAGGAGAAAAAAGGTTATTGCAAGCCTATAAAGTACACAGAAGCATCTCCTCTGACTTTCCTTGAGAACGAACTCGCTGCATGTCAGGAAACTGAACAGACCGTTGAACTCCATCATCAGGTTCGCACAAAAAACATGCGTCCGCTTGCCATGACTGTTGCTGATCTTTACTTGTAGTGCAAGCGGCTGCATCGGCGTGGGCATGTTACTTCAGGTGCGAGTGAAACAGTGAGTTAAGCTCGAGGATGACTGGTTTATGTACTATGTTAACAGTCTATTACGATGGCGTTCATTCGCCAGATAAAGAGCAGCTCTACGGTTATAAAGTCATCTCCCTGGAATGTGCACTTGCACGCTTTTGCCCGTGTTCTGATTTCCCCGGAGCCCTCTGTATCAGCACCCTGCACATCATTAAAGTGAATGAAAAGGTTGCGTTGATCCATGCGGTCTGAACGCGGCCCGCGCAAACTATCACTTTACATTCAGGCCGTTCAGTGATGGATGACACAACCTCAACCTGTAACACAAAAAATCGATCAGACTTCGTCTTCGGGGAAATATCCGTGTCCTGAAGGACCGGTGTTATATTTATAGTATTATGGTCGTTCACTCCGGTAGACTTCTCTGTTCTTCGGGGAAATCCGGACAATTAGATGTCGTGGGAACAATGGTGTCATTTCGAGGAAGAGTGGTAACTGGCTTTGTTGGGACTTGCCCTTGTGTGTGTGCGTTTGTTTGTTTGTTTGTTTGTTTGTGTGTGTGTGTGTGTGTGTGTGTGTGTGTGTGTGTGTGTGTGTGTGTGTGTGTGTGTGAGATCATGCAGTCTTGCGCACTTGTTGAACCGCATTGAAACTAAACTCTGTAAATCTCGCCGTCTCCCATATTTGGATGGAAATAATGTTTCATCTCTCTGCAGCTTGCGTAATATTTACCGTCCCTGATGCATATATTTGTGGCCACACTATAACTATTTGCCTCATTGCAGACATCAAAGGGCCTTTTGATGAAGCCCTGTTAACACTCAAAACTTTGAAGCCGGAAAGCACAGATGATGGATGAGAATGCTTTTCACCGCTTTTTATGGAGCGAAGGGAGGACTCATTGGGGGGGCGAAGGGAGGAGGTGAGGTACATTTGAGGTTGTGGGGATGATAATGATGTAGGGACTTATTTATTTAAATGAAGGCGGTATAAGAAAAAGCGCAGTCAGAGCACTTCCACAGCCTGTACCGGGCATTAAACTCTCTCCATTGAATCGCAACTAAAGTTCACATTTGTGCAGAAAATCCTTTGAAGCATGAATCAGCTTAAATCAGCTCACTTTTGTATTTTGGGGGAGTTTTGGGCTGAATCCAGCCGCTATGGCGCCATGTTTTGTTCACAGCAGCAACAACAAGACGGAGCTCAGACGGGCTTCCTCTCCATAGCGACGGTATCCGTCCACCAAACCAAACAAAAGAGAATACGTTGAAATGAGTCAACACAAAGCCGTTAAGTTAAACAGAAGCAGCCTTAGTAATGGTGGTGTTATCACCCGCCTGGTTTTGTTTTTTAGCCGCTCATCTTCCCAAGACCTTGACCAGGCTGCAGTGCCCATCTCCCAACAGGACATTTCTTTTCACACGCAAACGCACACACACACACTGCTCGGTGTGTTCTTGCTGATAGTTGACGTTGACAACGTGTTCACGAGGTCAAGGCGACAGCGGCTGACGTGTGTGGCTTCATTCTTCAGCTCATCACATGAAGTCTGAAGAGGGACAGATCAACTGATTAGACAAGGTGTGTGTGTGTGTGTGTGTGTGTGTGTGTGTGTGTGTGTGTGTGTG